GTGTAAGTGGCTCTTTCAGAAATCTTCGGTTGCGACCACCCAACTTTCCAAGGATTTGTAAGGCTTTTTTACCCCACGGATATGGCACAGGCCTCAAATGGGACCATAATGCCAAGATCACTTCAGACATCACATTAGCCATGCTAGGTTCCAGGAAATCAGGATTCAGACTATCCACCCAGAATTCAAGGGTGCGTAACCCCAAGCTCACAAGTTCATCGCTTCCCCTCAAACAGAATACAAGAGGCTTCATGAGACGGGGAAGGTATGGCAATAAGGAGCTTAAGCGTGCAGGAAGCGTCAAACAAAGCTCTAACAAAAGATCTTTCATGTCCTCCCCAGCTGGACCCTCGAGCATTGTCAAAAGAATATTAAGACAAGGTAGCAGCATGGGGATCAAATCTCTCAGAAGCAGCTCATATTTACATCCAGCAAGACCTCTGAACACAGTGCGGAGCAATTGCATATAACCAAGAGGTTTATCAACTTCCGTAGCATTCTTCATGCAGACTTCCATAATAACAGGCACATGGTGCTGTAATATTCTTTCAAAATCAGATGGTGTATTGGTGACAGCCCCAAAGATGCATCTAAACAAATGCAAAACTAGTTTAGTTGCAGCTGAATCTGGATTCTTCAGAACATCAAGTTTGCTGCTAACTAGTAAATTAATCAAAACATCTGCAAATGGCTTGCAAACTTTGGGAGCTTGCAGAAGTGCTGCAAATATCTGAACCAGTTGGTTATTGTTAATCATGCTCTCAAAAAGCTCTGGCATGCATAACGAGAACATGTCCATTAGATCTCGAGGTTCCATAATAGCAAGAATCTGGGAGAAAAGATTAAGCATTTCCTTCTCCTCATCCTTTTCTTTGAAGAGAGCTAAGCAGTGGACACCACTCTTTAAAACACCAGAAGCTTTCCACACCTGCTTAAAGGCAGAGATTACTAAGGTTTATAGTCATGCACTACTAATGACTTAAGTAAACAATCTTACAATAAGTACCTCATCTTCTCTCATTCCTTTAAAACCCTGCGGAGCAGATGATTGTGAAAGAAGAGCTTGAGGGTTCATCCCCTGGGCAGCAAGAGAAACTGTCACAATTAATATACTTGCATGACAAAACAATAGATTACTGATACAAGCGACAGGACACAAACCTGAGGTCGAGGCAAATGTGCATGGGTAATACTCCATATTATTGTTTTCATTCCTGAACATAAATCAAAAAGAGAAACAATATGATCGTCCAGTATAGAATCATGATCAATGTAAAAAGATAATTCTGCTAAGATTCAGTACCCATGACCAGTGTCTTAATCAGATTCTTACAATCATTCACTTCTTTGGAATGTTCAACAGGAACCTGCAAATTCAAAACTGCCTGCAACCAGTGTGGTTTACCAATAAATAACTTCTAGATAATTCATTTGTTGATCAGAAGAAAATATCTGAAGTTATCAATCAGACTGCATAATGCTTTGTCAAGAGACAAAAAGCCTGGTATAAAATCTAAGAATCCAACTTGGAATTATAATACCACCTATATTCCAACTTGAAGCGTGAGTGGAATATCCGTGTAAGATAATATGAGAGCTTTTAATTAGCAACTGAGTTTGAATATAAACATGTGCAAGACGATCTCACAATGGCTGATAATTCGTATTACTCAGTAAAACAAAAAAGTAATCACTGATAAGAGATGACACAAATTACCTGGACAGGAAGTTCAAGCTTCGACCTCAAAGTGACCCGATCCTTTCCCACCTCACCCTCCTCCAAAAGCTACGAATCGCAAAGCAAGAATAGGTAAAACATCCAACAAATATAATGGAGTTGAGAAAAGAATTAGCTAAAGGTTCAAGATGCCTTTTTAGTAACCTAATAGCACCTAATTTAAAGGCAACATAAAGATAAAAGAAATGACATATTAAGCAAAAATACTTTTTACAGCTATTCTAAAAGACCATCTGGAAATGGAAAGTGATAGCAAGAAAGCAAATGCATCTTGCAAACTGCCCCTGAAGATCAAGTGATCAACTCAATAATAAATACACATCTTTCCCAATCTCAAACATTAGAAGGAAAGAGACCAAATAAAAAGCAGCAAAACTTGCCATTTGAAAATCAGTAAATCATCAGTAATAGAAGAAAACCAAGCGAAAAAAAAAGTTGAACTCTTGATCACAACATTTGATTTTGAAAAGCAACCAGCATTACCTGAGGAATAGTACGCTTGAAAGTACTGAATTTCCCCACAAAGGCATCCAGGATACGTCCCTATATACAGGTGTAGCATGAGGTAAGTTAATGGACAGAGAAGCCAATTGATTCTAAAATGAACTCTCAAGTGAATTTTATACCAGTAAAATCCGTGCTTCATCCATTGACTGCTGATCAACACCTTTCTCAAATATTGGTTCTACCTGTATCAAACACAAGTTTTGATTGGAGCTTAATTAATAAAAAAAGAAATAAACTGGTATGCCTGGTTTAAGCAGTTTATCAAATTAAACAAGACAAACACAGTAGAGAATATAGAATTACCAGATTCAGCATCAGCCGGGCACATGTTGTATGGATGCTAAGAGAGAGGGTAGAGTCGTGCATGTTTCTTGAAAATAGGTAGATAATCCGTGATAACTGTGTTTAAAGTTAATCAGAGGAATGTAAAGGAAGTACACTCACTAAGCTTGAACAAAAAAAAATGATGTTCTCTAACGAAATCCTGATGATGCAAAGAAAAGTGATCAATATGTTACATTCCCAAGATTTTCCACACACAGTGCAATAACTGCGTATTGTAATGAAGTATTTTTACTTATAACGGAACCCAGGCTATCACAATCAACGTTTAATACAGTTTAAAGCTCTGCATCAGTAAAAACCTGAGCAAGAGAAAGATCTCCGCGAACATGGTGAACGATCTCCGCGAGTAAGCTGTAAGCCAAAGGCCTCAAAGACTCAAAACATGCTCGCCCAGTTCCAACTAGAACCCTAACACAGTAGACAAAGAAAAATACCTGACAAAAGTCAATATATGTTTATAGATACTTCAGCTTGATAAATTACATGCGAACAAAAGCTGTGCTTGATTAACCAAACAGCTCCTTCAGAATTATGAAATTTTTTGAATTTCAAAAGTCATAAGCCTCATACCTCTCATCTAAAAGAGTGTCAATAAGAGGAAATAAGCCTCTCTTAAAATCCGTCCCAAGTACATGCTTTAATGAGACTAAGAGTTCCTGCATTTCATATAATGAGAAATAAATCTTTAGAAGAAATCCCTTAATTGTGTCACCAGAGAAAACATACCCAAAAGAAAAAACAAAAGGTTTTCCACCTTTCTGATAGATGCAGAATCTGAACAGGTCACAAGCAAATTTACAATGCTTTTGCATATGCTTTCTTCATGCGGTCGGATATATTCGGCGCAACTTTTTAACAAATAAGTCAAAAAAGAAACCGTCTGCAAATAAACCAAAAACAAAAGTCAATATATCATGGCATCTCCCAGTTACGAACAATATAATTCAGATGAAACAATGAGTCGGTGTAGGCCTTGATATAATAATATTTCCAACAACGTAGAAAGCTTTGATTTCCTTCCTTACGAAGAAACGTTGTCTCACCTTAACCTGTGCACCCTTCAACTCTATGAACTGAGGCTTCAAATGAGAAGGAACATTCTCAGGTCCAGGGACAGATATAGCAACAACCATCAGGGGAAGTAAATGAGGAATGTTGGTCTGAACGAGTCGGCTATACAGCTGGAAAAGGAACATAACAACAAGGGGGCTCTCTGTGATTATCTTGAATGACCGAGTACTCGGGTTAAGCTGTCCATTCCCGATAGGTGCGGTAGGGGTAAGGGACTGATCAGAAGACGTAGGCATCTCCATAGGCTTCACCTCTTCCAATTTAACATTATCGAAAAAATGGCTGACAGTGGATCTGAAAATCGAATAGATTTTGCAGACAAAGTCTAAAAATGGTTGAACTTCATTTTCTAGTGTGGGCCTAAAATTCCTAAGAAGGTCAAAGATTATCCGAATGCAAATTAACCCGTTTTCTTCATTATCTGTGGTGAGCACCTGCATTGCAACCTTCAAAAGGTCTTGAACAAAGGGACGAAGAACCTCACTGTGGGGAAGACGATTGAGGATCTCAACCACAATGTTCCGCAGTTTGTGCTCCGGATTATCGATGAATTGCGGTGTAGTAATCTGTAGAAGAATAACCGAGAATGCTGGGAAGTAGCATTTTAAGAAATTCAAGTACTCAGCCGTATGTGCTATCTCTAGACTGTCCCTGACCTCCACCACCATCTCAAGCCTTGTTGGAATAGCTACACAAAACAATTTCCCAACAGAGATATAATCAAAAATTAGAAGTTTTGCTTTCACAGTTAAAACTCCTAAACAAGAACTAACTCGAAGTCAGACACTATAATTCATACGAGAATCATGATAGTTCCCGGATTATCTCAAAACCCAAAATCAAAGGAAACAGCTTTAAGTTATAGAGAGTGAAATCAAGAGAGAATTACGTAGGTCAGGATCCACGAGACGACGGGAGTGTTGCTCGAAGTTCTGAATTGGACTCATGGTGAACCACAAAAGCGAAATAATTTACACGGCGGAGCTCTTTCGCCGATCACGGACGCGACGATCTCTAAACGCACCGTACAAGTGCCAGACTTAGGTCAAAAACAAGTGGAATTTAGCGAAGGCTTTAACAAAAGCTACTGCACTAGAGACAATTCTGGAGATTTCCCGAGAAACATCTGAGCAAAGACCAACGAATTCGAGGAGGAAGACTATGGAAGATGATGCTTCTCTAAGAAATTTTCCCTCTCATTTTTGTTTCTCTGTGACGACTCTCTTTGAATAGTGAGTTCGGTGAACTCCGAGAAGATTCATGAGATCGCCGACTTGTACGGCTCAGTTTTTATTATTTCCTTAATGGGCCCAAAAAAGGCCCAATTTAATTTCAAGAGGCCCGTGGTGCATTTTTTAATTTTAGGAGAGGTGTTGTTATCAAGATGGTCACATTTAGCTAACGAATTTTAATTAGACAGGAGCAAAAGCCATCATTATAATTTTAATTAACCAAAATTCAAGTGTAGTGAACGCTAAGAATCTAACATCCTCGAAATTGCTATATAAGACACAAAAAAGTAACACTAATTCTTGTGTTATGTAATATTGATGGAAGAAGGTACGTATAATTAAGGAGAGTAATGGAGAGAGGCAACGATTGGGGAAGTGGTCGGGCGGAGATAGAGACAAAAGCAGCGTTTGGGTCGGTGAAAGAAGCGGTGGCCATGTTCGGAGAGAAAGTTTTAGCCGGAGAGATCTATGCAACTAGGCTTAAAGAGGTAACAATGTTCTATATTATCACAAATATTGCTAATTTTTATTTTGGGAATATTTATATGTTGGTAATAAATCTAACCTTTTGACCTAATTGTTTACAATTTTTGTAAAAAATTCTATTACTAGATATACAACACACAATAAAATGAAAAAAAAGTTTGTAAAATATTCATATAAGTATGTGTGTGTGTGTGTGTGTGTGAGTGTATATAACATCCATAATTTGAATTGTCATTGTATATATGAATAAATTGATACATTCCCATATAGTTTTTACTTTTTACATCACATGTATATGACGGTTTCAGATACGGACAAAGGAAACAAATTTAACTCCGCGTCATCAATCAAGACTACGATCTCTAACACTAGAGCTCAAGCAGACAAAACAAACTCTTACAAGAACACTACAACTTAACACGATCATGTCCAACAGACTCAAAACTCTAACACAAGAACTCGAACATGGGAGGAAGGAGATACAACGGCTCAACAGGACGAGGTCGAGTCGCCTAGATAATCCGGAGATTGAGGAACTCAAGTTCGTTGAACAGCATCAAACGACGATGTCTAAAGATGTTGAAGAAGAGATTGTGACGACGGAGGAGTTGGAGAAGAGGAGACTCGTGACATTCGCGAGCTCGCCTTTGCTGACACGTGTGATGTCAAGCGTCGGGGACGAAGAGGAGAGGAAGAAGAAAGAGAATGATTGTTTGGTCAAGAAGACAAAATCAAAGAAGGGTTTTGCTCCGTTCATGGGATGGTTTAGAGCAACCCGAGGAAGAGATTGATCTATATATATATATGTCCAATAATGCTAGGTCATATTGATTGTATGATTTTATATCGTTATATAATATAGTTAATGTGATGCGAATGCGAAATGTATCAATCCCGTTCTAAGAGTTTGATGAACAATACTTGTATGTTTACAAAGGATTACTGCATATATCTTGCAATGATCTTACCTTGGTTCTTTACAATTTTCTCTATAGATAAAAGTCTTACTTGTTATCACATTGAACACACGCAGTTTTATCGTCAACATTTATATGTACATATTATTCTTTTGCGATTTCTAATTAGGTGTCGTCTCTGTGATATATAGGCCATGAATGGTTGTGAATTTTTAAATACGTTTTAGATTATAGATTTTGGTTTTTGGATTTTAGATTTTTGTTTTTGGTTTTAGGATTTTGCAAAAATAAAAGAAAAAAAAATTAGAAAATGAAAAAAGTGTTGTGAAACTTATTGTTGTCTCATTCCATTCCATGAATAATGATACATATATATATAGGCATATAAACCTAGGGTTTTAGAGTACATAATGAATAACCCTGATGGGCTTATTGGGCCCGGTTATAAGTCCAATATGATGTATTATAACACTCCCCCTTGGACGGAGTAACCGGACCTGATGGTCAATCGGGATCTCGATAATACGCTGGGGAATGTTGCCTCATTAAAACCTTACCAGGAAAATCCAGTGGGAAAAACCATGGTGAAGGAAAAAGAGTACAACACGCATTACTCCCCCTGATTAGAGCATCACCGTAGATCTACTCATTCCTATTTGTTGGATGAGCTTTCGGAGTGTTGAAGCGGACAATGATTTGGTGAAAAGGTCGGCGAAGTTATCGCATGATCGGACCTGTTGAACGCTGATCGTACCATCCTTCTGCCAATCCGAGGTTGAGAAGAATTTCGGTAGGATGTGCTTCATCCGATCTCCTTTGATATAACCTTCCTTGAGTTGAGCAATGCAAGCCGCGTTGTCTTCAAACATAACCGTGAGCTCCTTATCTTCTTTCATACCACAATCTGATCGGATGTGCTGAGTCATGGATCGTAGCCAAACACATTCTCTGCTGGCTTCGTGAATGGCCAAAAATTCTGCATGGTTTGATGAAGTGGTAGTGATTGTCTGCTTTATCGATATCCAAGAGATAGCTGTTCCTCCATGCGTGAACACATAACCAGTTTGAGACTTGGCATTGTGCGGATCTGATTGATATCCTGCATCAGCAAAACCAACTAGTCCATCCTTGTTGTGGTTAGTGTAAAACAGTCCTAAGTCTTTAGTACCTTGAAGGTATCTTAGGAGGTGTTTGATACCATTCCAGTGCCTCTGAGTTGGACATGAGCTGAAGCGAGCTAGGAGGTTCACGGCAAAACAAATGTCTGGTCTAGTGTGACTAGCCAAGTACATTAACGCTCCTACAGCACTGAGGTATGGCTTTTCTGGACCGAGAATTTCTTCATCGTCCTTCTTGGGACCAAATGGATCACTGTCCAATCCTAGGCTCCGGACAACCATTGGGCTGTTCAATGGGTGGGCCTGGTCCATATTGAATCGCTTGAGTACTTTTTCAATGTAAGCCGCTTGATGCACAAGGATTCCTCCTTTAACGTACTCAAGTTGTAAACCCAAACAGAATTTAGTTTTACCTAGGTCTTTCATTTCGAATTCTGCTTTCAAGCAGTCGACTGTTTGGGAGATTTCACCAGATGTTCCGAGGATGTTTAGATCATCCACGTAAACTGCTATGATTACAAATCCTTTGTTTGAGTATTTCTTGATGAAAATGCATGGACTGATGGGATCGTTTTTGTAGCCTTCTCTGATGAGATATTCGCTTAACCGGTTATACCACATACGTCCACTTTGTTTCAGTCCATACAAGGATTTGTTCAGCCTGATGCAGTATTGATCTCGAGATGCATGCTTATCTTTAAGCTCTATGCCATCTGGTAATCTCATGTATATTTCATTGTCGAGGGGCCCATAGAGATATGCGGTGACAACATCCATTAACCGCAAATCTAGATTTTCTCTTATGGCCAGACTTATGAGGAATCGAAAAGTAGTTGCATCCACCACCGGAGAATAAGTCTCCTCATAATCGATTCCGGGTCTCTGTGAGAATCCTTGTGCTACAAGCCGTGCTTTATAACGAACGACTTCACCGAGTTCGTTTCTTTTACGCACAAAGACCCATTTATGGCCCACTGGTTTGACACTGAATGGTGTCCGGATGATCGGACCAAACACATTCCTGAGTTTGAGACTCTTTAACTCCACGTTTATGGCTTCTTTCCATTTTAGCCAGTCTGTTCTATGAGTGCACTCTATGATAGACGTGGGTTCTAGATCCTCTTGCGTGTTCGCAATATCAAGTGCTACTTTGTATGCAAAGAGTGCATTTAAGTCGACTTCTTTTCTGTTCCATTGGGTTCCAGACATGTTGTAATTGATAGAGATCTCATTGTTATCGATCTCGTCAGAACCTAGAGATTCGGCGTCCCAAACCTCTTCTGGTGGTTCATTAGAGTGAGTCTCAGCGCGCGCTATGTCTGTTATATTGGGAATCCCGGTTTCAACTATTGCACCTTTCTTTGATTTCCGTGGATTCTTGTCTTTGGAACCTAGAGGTCTGCCACGTTTATTTCGTGATGCAGACTCTGTAGCAACTTGAACTTGTCCCGTTGGAACAGTGATTCGTACTGGTGCATTACAAGCTGGTATGTACGATTTGGTTACTTTGTTCGGGTCAGCAAAGGAATCTGGCAATTAATTAGCTAGCTTTTGATAGTGTATAATCTTTTGGATCTCCGAATCATATTCTAGAGTCCGAGGATCTTGCCAATTTAAGGATGTTTGATTCCATGATAGCTCTTTGACCAGCTTGTGTTTCTCTCCACCCAATGTTGGATATACCGATTCATCAAATTGGCAATCCGCATATCTGGCCTTAAATAGGTCTCCAGTGGTCGGCTCGAGATATTTGATGATGGTGGGAGAATCAAAACCAACATATATTCCCATCCTCCTATGAGGTCCCATTTTGGTTCTATGTGGTGGAGCAATGGGTACATAGACTGAGCACCCAAATGTTTTGAGATGGGAGATGTCTGGCTCATGACCCTGTAATAATTGGGATGGGGAATATCTATGCTCACTAGATGGTCGGATGCGTATTAGTTCAGCAGCATGTAATACTGCATGTCCCCAAGCTGAGACCGGGAGTTTCGACCTTAAGAGTAATGGTCGAGCAATCCATTGGATTCGTTTAATGAATGATTCAGCAAGTCCATTCTGAGTATGGACATGTGCCACAGGATGTTCAACGGTCACCCCCATGGCCATACAGTAATCATTAAACGTTTGGGAAGTGAATTCACCAGCATTATCAAGACGTATAGTCTTTAGTGGGAAGTCTGGAAAGTGGGCTCGTAATCTGATGATTTGAGCCAACAACCTAGCAAAAGCTTGGTTCCGAGAAGACAACAGGCATACATACGACCAACGGGTCGAAGCATCTATTAGTACCATGAAGTACCGGAATGTCCCAGAAGGTGGGTGAATGGGACCACAGATATCTCCTTGGATTCTTTCCAGAAAATGCAATGTCTCTTTGGACACTTTTACTGGTGAAGGCCGAGTGATCAACTTCCCTTGGGAGCAAGCTGTGCACATGAGGTGCTGAGGGAAGATTCGGTTTTCTCGAAGGGTGTGTCCTTGAGAACTTTGGATTAATTTACGCATCATGGTTGTACCGGGATGACCAAGCCGGTCGTGCCAAATAGTGTAGTCTTGGAACCGGGCTTTGAGAGCATTATTAGCCTCAATCATACTGACCTTGGCATAGTAAAGGCCAGTAGATAAAGCGGATATAGTCTCGAGGACTTGTTTATGGCCAAGTGTGATCTTAGTGATCAGTAGGGATTCTTTATTCCCTTCACCCTGGGTTTCTATGTGGAAACCATTAAGTCTGATATCTTTAAAACTTAAAAGGTTTCTTTTTGAGCTGGGTGAGTATAATGCATCTGGAATGTCCAGATGTGTGCCGTTTGATAACAACACATGTTCAGATGATAGAATCAATCGAGGAGATCTGAGATCTCGTAGTCCATGGGATCGGTCGGCTCGATGGTGGTGTCGTTAGCATCAACTTGCAGGGCCATGTTAGCTTCAGCAGGTGCTTTCCCATGTTTCTGATAAAAATCGCAATGAAACTTGGGAATACGACAGTTCTTTGTCCAGTGATTGAACATTCCGCAACTGGTGCAGGCAGACTGATTGGTTGGGTGGGCAGGGCGGTTTGGTTTAGAGATACCACGGCCCTTACCGGAACCATAACCGAGGTTATGTCGGTTGTCACGTCCATTTCCGCGTCCACGCTTTCCACGTCCATTCCCATGTCCACGGCCACGATTCTTTGCGGGAATCTGGTACTGGAGCCGATCCCGGGGGCCTCTGGGCACTGTTCCTCATTAACAGCTCGTTGTTTTTCTCAGCCAAGAGCAAACAAGATAACAAATCTTCGTACAATGTATGTTTCATTGCACGATATTGCTGCTGAAGCACAATGTTTTGGGTATGGAAGGTGGATAATGTTTTCTCGAGGAGATCATTATCAGACACCTCTTCACCACATAGTTTCATGATTGAAACTATCCGAAAGAGTTCGGAGTTGTAGTCATCCACAGATTTGTAATCTTGGAACCGGAGTTCCTTCCAGTCAAACTTGGCTTGTGGCAAGAGCACCGTTTTCTGGTGATCATACCGTTTTTTCAGGGCCACCCAAAGTTCGAGTGGGTTCTCAAGAGTGAGATATTGTTGTTTGAGGCTCGCGGCCAAATGATGGCGGATATGAAATATCGCCTGGGACCGGTCTTTATCAGAGGCTTTGTTATCCGCTTGGATACACGCACCCAGTCCCTTTGAGTTGAGGAAAATCCTGGTGTCCAGGGCCCATTCGAGATAGTTTTCACCGGAGACCTTGAGGGCCTCGAACATGAAATTGATTTCATTAGGGGTTTGTTAAAATAATAGTTGGAAAACTTTCTATTTTAGGCAAGTTTCTATTTGAGCAAACTTTATATTTGAGGAATGTTTCTAAATTGGGGAACTTTCTAAATG